TCGATTAATACGAGCGGCTCATACCATCATCATGGCCGGCGCTTGAGTTGTGGTGGCCAACCGATGTTGCACATTTTCAGCTGACCTCTTTGGCAAGTAAACACGATAATTTTGTTTGTGTAAAAACTGCTGTACAACGAATGTTTTCTCATCGGAGAAACCCAAATTAGGCAGTTCATCACTTTCGGCCAAGAGAAGCAACACTTTAGTTCTTTTGAGTCTATTTTTCTTCCGTTGCGGTGTAAGTTTTTACACTTTTTGGACTTTCAATGGCTTTACCCCGAGCTCATTTTTCAATATTTGCGGAATGGAATATTGGGATATGTGCAGCTCACGTGCCATTTTTCGGTCATTGCGACGCGGATTTCGATCAAGTCGCTTCTTTACTTTACTCGAACCATTTCTGCTGGTGTTGCTGTTTTCTTCCGTCCACTTCCTTGACGTCGAGTTACGCTACCAATATCACAGTAACGAGCGATGGTACGAGACACAAAATATTTATTCACATTTAAATGGAGTGGAGTGCTCTAACTATAGCCACTTGGGGGTTTCCTGCCAAATATAAAGAAATCACACTATTATGTTTGAATTCCATCACGAATAACTTTTTTTCTGGGAAATTTTCACAAAAATGCTTTTGTTCGCTTGTAAACAATATAATGAGCTGTCACTGGAATAATTTTAACAGCTGTCGGGCAAGTGGCTTAGAAATGACAGCAGTTTGAATTTGGCTGCAGTTTTTTCATCTCACCCTGTAAATAAAATCCCTACGTTTCCAATTAACTAAATAAAGACCCGCAGTTTCAGCTTGTCTATATTTCCAGCACCCTATCGTCTGTAGAAACTCCTATTAAAAGAGAAACTTCAAATCGTTCTTGAAGACATAAACAATCCCAAATTCTCCTGGTCCCTGTTTTGATTCCTCTTCATAAAAAAATCTTCTTAATTCAATTCATCTCTTTCCTGTAGACCAGATGTTAATATAAACCGATTAAAAAGATGTAGCTAAACATTTCCCTATAAATATAAAATTTATCTATTTTGAATAAAGTATTGTCGCCTCAATGGCGTCAGAGATATCAATTAGCATTATTTGTTGTTGTATTGTGAATTCCAAAGAATTTCTTAAGAAAAAAAATGTTTATAATATTGCAAAATTTATAAATATTTAATGAAAACCGGTATACATTTGTGTTGTTGCTGCTGTTGTTTTAACGGAAACAATGCCACCACCACCACAACAAAGAGTGTCGAAAGAAAGGAAGATCAATGAATCAATTTCATGATTCACAATGTGTCACTGTTACATCGAACGTTAGCTTCCATATTAAATAGCCATCGATCGGCACGCTTCAAAAGTGTTGGCTTTGTTAGGTATTGAAATCGTTCGATTTCATTTGTGGGTGTTACAAGGAGAGAAATTACAAAAGTTAAGCGGTGTTGATTGTACTTATTTTCTCATTGACCTGATTTTGAAAACCTTTAATTCTAAATATTCTTTCTCTTTTATATTGTCTAGCATTCCATTTGGCTAGGAACAAAACGCAAACACCAGCAATTTCAATAAATTACGCCAGTATGTGGTTGTTTGCTGTGAGGTCACTTTAGCAATTTTCAGGTCAAATGCCTGCCTCTCCCTCCACCCATTAACCTGAAACTGACATGAAATCACTTCAATTCAATTAAGTTCTTTCCTTTGCTCTACAATTTTTATGATTGCACAGATAACTACCTACACCTTCTATGGATATTTCGAAGTCTTGCATAGATACCTTGCCTTGCCTCCCTGCGCTCCATTCACCCATGATTTCATAGCTGGTCATTTGGACTTTTGGGATGGCAACATTTGTGTGTGTTTTTTTTTTAAATTTCTTTCTACTCATCTGGTTTTTGTATACCCTCCGAACGTATATTTCAATTGGATGGCTGAATCTTTTGCGGCAACGGATCTTTGGCGTGTGCTTGGCCACAGTATGTATGAGTCATATCACCGACCGACGTATGTATGTGCCTTTATGTTGGTTCATACGAAATCTTGATGAGTTTACTGCCAGCGTACAAACAAGCAAAAGTTGAAATGAGAAAAATAAACAGAAGCGAAAAAATGAACGACCGCCCAACCGAAATGAATAAAAACAACAACAGCAGCAGAGGCAGCAGCGTTAACATTGTCCACATATGGATGGCCTCGTCACTTCAGCGATAATAATAAGAAAGAAAAAATATAAATACCTAAAATAACAGAACTCGAAAACACCTCAACTCACGTAAAAGTTAAAACACTTTGTTCATGTTTCTCGTTTGTCTTTCTTTTCGCCATTTCCTTTTTGATCGAAAAGTTGACATTCAGTTTTGGGCGTAGAAGATATTAAATAATATTCGCAAGTTTGTATTGGCTTAGAACCCATAATTGATACATAATTTTATACACTATTATATCTCCAAAAGGCAATAATGGACTATAAATAATTGACTGCCAATAACACATTGTCGTGTCTGGCTTTTTTGATGCCTAAAAGTATATGTTCGTATCAATATGTTTTTTTTTCGATTAAGATTTCTATCGCTCTACTCCCTAATATTGTCCACAGTATGGAAACAACCTACTTTTTGGTCTAAATACATATATATAACAGATGAATACGCAGAATCCTTAATAAGGCAGATTAAATGCTATAAGATTTAAATACCCCAGCCGACTTGACTTTGTTTGAAGAGGCTCTGCAACTTCTCTGTTGCGCTTCACTCCAAGACCGCAGGTTTTGGTATATGTTACTTACTCTTTGGATAGGCAGTGAGTGACGGAGGTAAAATGGGAGTCATTAGTAGAAGAATGAATGGTAGAATGATATGTAGCGACATATACAGGGTGAGATAATAAAAACTGAAACAAAGTCAAAAGCCATAATTTTTACATTTTTTTTAAAAATTTTATTGAATGAAAGCAAAAAATGTCGGGAATAGGATCAAATTTTAGAATAAGTTTAGATTTGTTCGGATTGGTCATCTTTGGCACGAATTATGGCCTTTAAACGGCCGATGAAAACGTCACACGCTGCCCGAATGTTGCTCTGCGGTATTTTGACCCATTCCCGGCGAAGCGCTTGCTTGAGGTGATCGACACTTTGGTATTTTTTTGTGCCAACCTCGCTTTCCAAAATACTCCAGACACAATAGTAGGTATCCGGAGATTTTGGTTGCCATTGTGCACTGGAATGAAGCAAGGAACCTCATTTAGTAACCATTCTTGGGTGGCGGGTGCTGAGTCCTGTTGGAATATCCAAGGTCTGCGGGCAAAATGTTTGCGTGCCCAAGGCTTTAATAAACCCTCCAAAATATTTTTGCTATAATAATCGGCGTTTATTCTGATGCCACGGTCGATTAATATGAGCGGAGAGCGATCATCAGCTGTTACGGCGGCCCACACCATCACCATGGCCGGCGCTTGAGTTCTGGTGGCCAACCGAAGGTGCACATTTTCAGCTGACCTCTTTGGCAAGTAAACACGATCATTTTGTTTGTTTACAAACTGCTAGACAACGAATGTTTTCTCAACGGAGAAAACCATATTCGGCAGTTCACCACTTTCGGCCAAGCGAAGCAACTCTTTAGCTCCTTTGAGTCTATTTTCTTTCTGTTGTGGTGTAAGTTCTTGCACTTTTTGGAACTTCAATGGCTTTACCCCGAGCTTATTTTTCCATATTTGCGACGCGGATTTCGATCAAGTCGCTTCTTTATTTTTCGCACCATTTCTGCTGATGTTGCTGTTAATGTTCCGTCCACTTTCTTGACGTTGGTGCTACGCTAACAGTATCACGGTAACGAGCGATGGTACGAGACACAAAAGATGTATTCACATTTAAATGCTGGAGTGCTCTAACGATAGCCACATGTGGTTTTCCAGTCAAATATAAAGAAAACACACTATCACGCTTGAATTCCATCACGAATAACTTTTTTCTGGAAAATTCTCACCAAAACGTTTTTGTACGCTTGTAAACAATATAATGAGCTGGCACTGGAATAATTAACAACTGTCGGATGAGTGGCTTAAAAATGAAAATAGTCTGAAGTTGGTTGCAGTTTTTTCAACTCACCCTGTACACTTTGTGGTGTCTAAAATATATATTTCGAGGAATGAACATAATATATATGGAAGGAATAAAAGCGCATGCCAAACCACATCACACATTCCGAAACAGTATCATTGGCATCGGGTAATAATAGTTGTGTTTGATAACTTTCCCAGTAGAAATCGCTCAGAATCTTATACCGAAATAATTTTGTTACACCCACAAATATCAAAAAGAATATTGCACTTTTGTAAAATGTATGCGTTACACTTTTAAACTTGTGAAAAACAGAATCTAAAATTTTAATTTTTATAATGAAAAATCAGTTACTGAGTAGTATAATGCCATTCATCTAGAAGAAATTAAATAATTCTGGACAATTTCTGTAAATTTTGGCATTGCCACAGCACACACACAATCAGCTGTTAATGGCTTCTCAGTAAGAATTTGCAAACTCTGAGCAACTCAACTGTCACAATTGTTCTCCCAACTCGTTCTCATTTACTTGATTATTGTATTATCAAGCACACCTAATATCAGTTTTTACAGGATTTAATTAAGAATATTTGTAAAATTAATTACTCAGACCGATTTTGTCATCGAAATTTTACCACATTAATATGACTAAATTTTGAATGACCTCAAGAGGTAATTCGCCGAACATTCATGACTCTTGTTCTTAAAAACAACAATTTTTTTTGAAATTCCATACACAATATAACAGTTTATCTACCATACTGATTAATAATATTTGTCTACGGTTTGGAAACTACACAAAACAATTCACCAAAAAGACTGATTAAAATATAGGAAAAAAATGACGTCACTTGGGTATGACTGCATCAAGTCGTCTAAATTTATTTATTAAAAAAAAACTGTGAAATGTTTGTGAATAATTTTTCAATTGTTTTTTCATTTTCATTTTAGTTAACGAACGATTTTTTTATTTAAGTGGCGAAGTTGTTGGAAACTACAACACAACACCCATCCAGCATAATCTTAGTTGCCAAACAAAAAACTAGAGCACACAGACAGACAAAATGATAACTTCCAAACTACGCCTGCCTTTGCTGGCGTTCATAGCACTGTCATGTTGCATACTAAAGGCTGAAAGTCAATTGGCCGGAAAGCTATTACAAAATCCCTGCGTTAATAAAGCCACCTGTCACGAATGTATACAAACATCGGAATGTGCTTGGTGCTCTGATCCAAAACATGGCGACAAGCCAAGATGTTTCCTGGAATACACCAATAATTTCTGTAATCCTATGTATATACAAAATCCCAAGACTGTACAAGAAATATTGATGATGCGTGAATTGAGTCGTGGTGGTGGTGCTAGTGCCGCTGCCGGTGGACAAATGTCAGCCGAAGGATCTTATTATTATAATGCCTCATCAAGTAGTTCATACTCAGGATCATATAGTGCCTCATCAAGTTCATCGGGTGCCTATGGCGCCTCGGGATCAGCTAGCAGTGCTGGTGAAATTGTACAAATCAGTCCACAAAGGGTTAATCTTAAATTGCGCATAAGTAAGTTTATATTTGTGGACATTTTTTTTAATTACTCTTATTAATCAAATTTTTTTGTTGTTGCAGACGAAGTCCATAATTTACAATTCCGTTATTCCCAAGCCGAAGACTATCCCGTTGATTTGTATTATCTTATGGACTTGTCCAAATCTATGGAAGACGACAAAGAAAAACTCTCTGCCTTGGGTGATTTACTGTCCGAAACTATGCGTAACATTACCTCCAATTTCCGTCTAGGTTTCGGTTCCTTCGTTGACAAAGTACTGATGCCATATGTTTCTACTATACCCAAAAAGTAAGTATTACTTTTCGTACGATTTAAATTCGAAATTGTAAACATTTATATACACCATTTTATATTTTAAGATTATTGGTTTTTATTTATGGTTAGAAGGACATGGTTGAAATGAATTTTATTTATTTTTATTCCATTGACTTATAACAACCAGTCATCATATGTAAATTATAATGACAGAATTAAATATAAAATTCTAGCGCCATATTTCGATTTCTTATCAGGCAAATACTGACACACAATTAACTATTATTCTTTACAAAAGAAAATTGCAACAAACATTTTGGAGTTCATTTTGGCCATGTTATTGTTTTTTTGTATGTTTTTATATCTATATGCCAACAATAGTTTTCTATTCCATTCAATTCACATTTTTATTATTAATGTTATTAGACAATATTTTCTTTATATCTGTAGATTTACTATATATTTATAAGAATGATATATAATTATAAGAATGAATATTTTTATTGTTAGTTTTTAAAATTTATTGTATAAAATTTTTAAGGCCAATTTAAAGTTATTGTTAATTTTTTCTATGTGATGATAGCGCATGTTTTATGTAATTATAGCAAAACAATAGAATATTTTTCCAAGTTCATAAAAGGCGACCGAAGTGCTATATTGAATGATATATAGTCGATCTTCTACACAGGGCTACATTTTGTTACATTATACATTATAGCTTATTCAAGCAAAAAAAAAAAAAAAAAAAAAAAAAAATTGTGGGTAATTGTCTGGGTTTCAAAAGAATTAAAGGGCGATTTTTGTATGTAGCTATTATCTTTTTTGCAACATTGGTTTGTTGTCTTTTTATACCCTACACCACATAGTTGTAAGAATATTATGTCTTTGTGCATTTGTTTGTAACATGGAGAAGGAAGCGATATAGACCCATAGTTATTTTTGAGAATCTTCATAGAATCACTTTCAGGGTCGATTTTTGCATGTCAGTCCGCCTGTCCGTCCGTCCGTCTGTCCATGTATTTTTGTGAACAAAATGCATTTATTATCTGATTAATATGAAATTTTCCAAATTCGAATTCAGCCTAGAAGCAAGTACATCAAATTTGGAGAAAATCGGTTCAAATATAGCTATAGCTCCCATATATATGTTTCATCCGATTTGGGGTTTTAAGTCCCTCACATGTGTAATATGCACTCCACAACAATGATATCAGATACCGGTCATCAGATACTGTCCAGTTCGGTTCAGATTTTTATATAGCTTCGATAAACATCTTCATCCAATTTTACCGTTATTGCTATCCATAATTATCAGCCCAAATTGAATAGATTTTTTCATATTCAAAACTTTAAACTTTTTTTGTTACGGGAAATCTACTTTATACGCATATTGGTGTAGGGTATCATATAATCGGCCCCGCCCGACTTTTGACGTCTCCTTAATGATTTAGAGTGAAGATAAACCAGAAGCATTAGGCTGTGGAATCATTAGACCGACTTCTTCAAATATGCTGCGAACCTTATGATGATATCCCACTTTTTTGCCCAAAATGCAAGAGATTGACTTGCATGACATATGGTTTCAAAAAGACGCTGCCACATGCCAATACGCGTAACAATTAAATTATTGAGAGACTAGCTTTGGTGAACCTTTTTTAATCCCTTTAGACTACTTTTTGTGGGGCTATTTTAAAGTTCATGTCTATACAGGCGAGCCCCTTCAATTGACGCATTGGAAGAAAACATTTTTTCGTGAGATACCAGCCGAACTGTTGAAAACAGTATGTCAAAATAGGACAAAGCGCCAAAATGGCATTGAGGCACAATGGCGGACAATATATGCATGGAAAAATCTACAACATCAAATTATGTGGACCGTACTATCAGTTTAGATGAAGATTTCAAGCATTTTTCAGAATACACTATAGCTCTTCAAAAACCACCCTTATATGATACTGAAAAAGAAATTTGACCACTTAAGTCCTTCAGCGAAACGGGAGTTGATAGAGGCTTCTTCGTTTCTGAAATTGGCTAGATTTTAAATCGGACGAAATTATCAACTTTAGAACTCAACTAAATAAAGTTGCTCTCTGCCGTGAACTAAAATACATTGCCTCTCTCACAATAGAACGAAAAAAAAGCTTTAAAAACGCGCAGCTTATTGTGTCTATGATCTCTAAATCTTAAGTCTCTGTTAGCTTTTTCTCGCCAGTTCGTCAGCTTTTTATCTCGCTCACTGTTGTAATGATCTGCATCATTCTGTTCTTTAATCTATTTTTATAAATTTGGTTTGACTCAACATATGACATTGTGTCGACTATAAAAATAATGTTCTATTGCTTTATAAAAAACTGAAAAGATGTATAGGGCCCAAAAAAATTGTTTTACTTGCAAAAAGCCTTTTTATATCCGCAGAATTATTTTTATAAAACATTGTGCCATTTATTCATTAATTTTTATTTTATTTATATTTATTATTTATTTATTTTATTTTTATTATTTTATATATAAAATGAATAAATTCGCATTTGTTAATTATTTTCTATACATTATTTTAAATATGGTAACATATGTTTTATGCTACAGTTTTTTTAGTAATTTATATTATTTTATAAATATGTAAATTAAGCCGTTTTGTGTTTTAAAGAAAAACACATGCATTCACGATCATTTCATTTTGCAAATTTCTCAAAATCAATCTGCAAACTTAATAAAATAAAATAATATTTAGAACGCTTTAAAATTAAACATATTAAAGTATGCAAAATCGCGGACCCCTTGGTTTGTTTAAGCAATTTCCTGATTATATATACGAGTTTATGTAAAATAAGTTAAAATTTATTAATTTCCCATTTACAGAGCCTTTGATATAAAGATCAGGGTGCGATATCACCAACTACTTAGCTTGAAAACCTCATTTCGTGGACATCTAGTTCGTTCAGGCAATCACTCAATTATCACTCTATTATCCATCAAGTACCTCCCCTTCAGGGTCAAAGTTTTGAATAACCAAAACAATTACAAAATCAGAATTAAGCATCCAATTCTCTTTAAATTACACAAATCACTATGTTTTTGTGAACTTAAGGTCTGGTGTAAAAATGGGATATATTGGTCCACTCCTTCTGGAACTTCCCCACAAAGGTTCAATATTTTGAATATATTAATGAAGCTCTTAAAACACGAAATGTACATCCGATTCCATTCAGACTTGGCACATATCAATATTATTACAAAGGGTCACAATTTCCAATACTTTTATCTGTCGTTCTTTACAATTTGCTATATCTAAATATTTTTCTCAACTAGAAACCTGAGATGAATATGGAATTTATGATTTCTCATAAAAGTGGATAAAAATGTTCGATTTTCTTACCCATAGGAATATTTTTATCTGTATTAGATGGAAATGAAATACCTCGGTCGGCTATATCTGATACATCACGCACATTTTAACATTTTCTAAAAGTAATCACATATCTTATATAAAGTGAAGGAAGTAACCAATATAGTCCAAACCTGGCACATCGCAATATTTATATCATAAAATTACTTAGGTCCGATACAAAATGGCCAATATTGGTCAATTCCTTCAGAACCTACTCCAAAGAGGGTAAACAATTTGAATAACCATAGCAGAAGTCAAAATATATTTAATCAGTCGAACATTGGCTGAGTGTATACATTTGTCGGCAAAACCGACTGATACTTTTTAACTTGTTTTGGAGCATTTTTGTCGAAAATCATTCTTTTTATCGGTTTCGAAGGGCATTTCTGGTTACTACGTCGGTGGGCGATATATTTTCCACAAACATAATTTAGCTCCACAATTTTGCATACTTTAGTTATCAAAAGCCTCCACTATATTCATGGGAATATAAATACCATTTTATAATTTTTGTGGACTTGTTCCATTTAGTTTATTTTAATTTTTTATTGTACAATATAATAAGCATTTCATATTCTATTCACTTTATTGGATTTTTGTAAAAATCCCAAATTTATTTCATTTTGTAACATATTGTTACGTCGTTTAATTTTGTATATTTACTTTAAGTTTAATTTCTAAAAAAACAAATCCCTTTATTTACCAAAAAAAATGTTTTTCTTAATCTTGTTATATTTTCCAAATCTAATCATAACTTGTTTCTTTTTTTATATTTTTAACATGAACAAATTTAATGATTTTACAACTAACATCAAATCAACTGAACAACAAAAACCAACAACTACCAAAAAAAATATGTAAAAAACCATATTCTACTAAAAAAACAATCCCTACTACCTTAAAATGCCACATAACTACTATATCATCACCAATAATTTTGTTGCACACCACCATCACCAATAAAAAAATCAAACTGTAAAACCAACAGACTCCAACATCCCTGTGATCAATGTGAAGCTCCTTATGGTTATCGCAACCATATGCCTTTGAGTACAGATACCCCCAAATTCACTGTAAGAATCCAAAAACAAACTATATATTTTTTTAAACATATTTATCTATAATCCTACATACATATATATCTACTACATCTACCCTAACATATATACATATACATATGCTGTAATTTACATATCCATTTATCAATTGCACACTCTGTCCCATTAATATTTTGTTTTTAAACCATATCATTGTTTACTAACAATTTTTATTTTTGTTTTTTATTTTTAATTAATTATTTTGTATTTATGAGTATAATTTTATGTGTGGTTGTTATGAATACTTGAATGTTTTGCTTAAGAATTGTTGTCGTTTTAATATTTAAATGTTTTAATAGCTTTTACATATTTATCTCTGTATCTGTGTATTTTTTAAATAATGGTAAGATGATAATTTTAAATAGCCAAATTACACATACATTTATATACTGTGGTTTACCTTTTTTCGATGTATTTTTAATGTAAGCATTTTGAGTCATTTATTATTGGTTTACCATACACAAACACATTTGTAATTTATAAAACAAATTCTATATTTTATTTCATGTTTTGATTGGTGTTGCTTAATTTTTCATAGTTTAACTAAGCTGTTGCTGAAAATTTGATGAAATTATGTACTGATGGCCATATTATATTAGCGGAACCGACCCCCATTTGCGTTTCCTTTTTTTGAGAGGCTTATCTCACTTTCTATTATTTTATGGGGAGGCGAAATTCGTATAGGTTCTTGCCATTGAATAGATAGGGTTCTTGGATCAAGGCGATATCAATATTCGACTCGAGAGAATTACCTGGAGTTTGGTAGCCGCGGCTTTGCAGTGATACATATTGACCTGTATCAGGCTTAGGACAGACTTCTTGTTTACTACGCCTTGCTTTTCGGGAAGCGAAAGCACTGTGCGACAAATATACACAATACAGTCTTAACATTTACAAATTGTCTCAAAGATTTTGCCCTATACTTCACAACATATGTAATAGAGCTTTAAAAGTTGATGAAGGGAATATATGGGCCATGCCGGTCCACGTTTTGATATTTCCCTCATATAAGGGTACACCCCGACATCAAGTATTTTTTTTACATTTTAGCAAATTTTGGCAATTTTAGTTCTTAGTAAAAAATTATGCTTGGATAAATGCTTTGTATAACCTCACATGAAGGTATCCCCAACTTTATCCGGGGTCTATGCCACATTTTTCAATAGATTGGGCCCTTTTTCGACATATTGGTTTCTAACGGGGTAGGAAACCACTTCGTAGAGAATTTTCAATGTAGGTCTATGTTTCGGAGTAACGCCGATAAAAATGTATTTATTTATCCGAGGGCTGTGAACTAATTTTCCAATCGCTTGGGATAAAAATATTTATTTAGGCTACTTTGGGGTAGAGAACCATTCTACAGAAAATTTTCAATATAGGAATATATTTTGGTATAAAACGGTACCTCGCAGGCCCGCGTTGCCAACCAATATTGCACAGTTGAAGTGAATCCTTCGAAACCCAAAGCCACCTCGACTTCTTAGATGGGCATCTCCGGTCTTGTCTATGGCTACTCTCAGAACTACCCCGCTGTTCTAATTAAAAGAATTCAGCACCTGCCAAATCCCACTACTTAAATCCATTGGGGTCAGTGTGATCAATTACCACTACTTAAAGGTCCTCAGCCTTGCCATCTTTTGATTTGTGGAGTGTGATACCTCCGGTTTTGGCACCTCAGAGGCTTTCTTTAATGGCTTCTTTTTTCTTTCTTTTCTTCGATACCACCTTTCCAGATGAGCAGGGTTTTCTCGCACTCCTCACCATTTTTGACGTTTACCACTGCTCGAAAGATTTACCACTGTTCTGTATGTCTTTTTATCGGTTTTAAACATTTCGACTGCCAGAAAAACCTTGCTCATCTGGAAAGAAGGAGAATGGAAAAAAGGAAACCATTAAAGAAATCCTCAGAGGTGCCAAAACCGGAGGTACCATGTCCTCTCGAACTGCCTAACGAAAGGTTCGTAGTGATGACCTGCAACTCCTTATAACTGACCTTATCAATTAGATCTCTTTATCGACATATTGACTAAAAATCCTCCTTGGATTTTTTCCGCTCATCGTGTCGGGAGATTTCAGTCGCACTTAAATTACCCTCCATTTACCTCGATTACCAACATCAATCGAAAAAGAGGTTGTTGTTTTCTTGGGTTACGTTTTTCTTCAATATGTCATTGTTTTGTGAAGGACTGAAAAATTAAAGAGTATATTCGAAAAAGGAAATAGCCTACCTGTTGCAAGTCATAAATGTGAAATAGCAGCTGATTTGGTTAGAAATTGGAGGTGAAACCTTCAACTTACCGAAAATCTATTGGTAAGGTTATAAGGGGACGACTACAACACATTTTGGGCCTCTCTTCAACATTTTTCGTGGGGAGTTAACTTACCAACTGAAAATTCGAGATTTGAAACTACAGTTGATTTGTTTCCAAAATTTAGGCGCCTGCTTTAAATACTGAATATGAGGTGGTAGCTATATAAAGTGTATAAACCAATGTACTTTGAATATTTTTTAGAGAAATTGTGGCCCACTGAGAGCCCCCAATCATAGGTTCGGAAAAACTGGTAAAAACTACGAATGAGGACAGATATCATCGAGTTTCAATACCAAATATCCCAGGGGTAATAAACATTTTTAAGCATTTTAAATTTTCGTGATTTCAACACATGGAAGGATGGGGCGGACAGACGGTTATGACGGAATCCATACAGAATTTTCTACAAATCAAGAATAAATATTTTTTTTTTATTTTTTGAAGTCACCGACGAATTTTTCCAGTTGTAAAAAACAACAGACAAAAGATAAACATTTCAAAAAATGTACGTATGACAGAAGAAAGGAGAGGCTCCGTACATCTGAGGTCATGTTTATTTGTTAGGTTTAATTTCCAAACAAAATTCTCTTAACCAAAAAACCTTGAACTTAATATGGCCGTATTTTTGATTTTGGTTCTTTTTAAGTTAGTATTACTTATTGTTTTTATTTCATTTATTTTTTAAAAATATATATATAGTGTACCTTCTTCATATATCATTTGTTATTTATTATTGTGTTCTCGTTCTCTCTTCTTTTTTTCATTTAACAAAAATATTGCGTCCAACAACAACTCTACATATAATCGTATTTTGTGTGTTACTTCTACTCTCTGCATATGCATCAATTTATATATTATCTATAAAACAATATATAAACATATAAACCATTTGATAAAAAAAAATATTAGCATGATAGAACCATGTCCAGGCTGTGCTGCACCCTATGGTTATAAAAATGCCATGCCACTAAGCAGGGACACCTATCGGTTCTCAGTAAGTTTTTCGTTTGTTGTCGTAGTCACTTTAGCTAGTTAACATGCGATTGGTTTCTTTTTGGCTTAAAATTTCTTGGTTTGGATGTTTGAAGAATCGGCATGTTATTGAAATTGTTTGTGCATGCTCTATAAATGGGTTTTTATTTTTTAACAACATAATTGGTTTGGTTTTTTTTTTTTGTTTTAACAATTTGAATTGGCTGACTTGTTATTTGCATGCATTTGTTTTAGTGTTTCTTGCATGTTTTGCTTTTTCTTCTAACACACATTCTAATCATTGTTTCCAATTTCACTTAATATTTGTTTAATAATAATACGGTGCTCGAGAGAGAGAAAAGTACTGCCCCTCTCCAAAGTAAAGATCTTACATTTTTCTCTTTTATGGGGAACTCTTTATATTGATGAGTTAAGAGTACTTTCTCAATCTCTGTAGCACCGTTTTATTAAAAGGGGTACACTCTTGTGAAGTTTTACCGTTAATCGATATTAATTATTGTTTTTTTTTTTGCATTACTAAATTTTCTAATTTTTTTGTTATTTGTATTTTTTGTTAATTTATTTTTTTTTTTTTTTTGAAATCCTCTTTGCAATGCAATACACAGAAATAAGAAACATACATATATATTGTTTATTATGTATGTTTGTTGGGTAGTTATGTGTGTGTTTTTTATCAGTCGTCCAATGGTGTCTGAAAAGCTTCTTATGGCTTAAAATTCCTCGAAGTTATTGATAGGGCAATGCATTGGAAACTATTTTAAAAATATTGATAACTACCTAATGATTAATGAGTTCGTGAAAAAACATAGCCACTAAATATAATATCGTTGGGAAATGCAAAACAGAGTGAGATAAAAACTGCAACAAAGTCAAAAAACATAATTTTTACATTTTTTTTAAATTTTATTGAATGAATGCAAAAAATGTTGAAAAAGCATCAAATTTTAAAATAAGTTTAGATTTGTTCGAATTGGTCATCTTTGGGACGAATTATGGTCTTCAAACGGCCAATGAAACCGTCACACGCTTCCCGGCAAAGCGCTTGCTTGAGGTGATGATAGTATAGTATTTGTTAGTGCCAACCTTGCTTTCCAAAATACTCCGACTCAATGGTCCAACGGATTGGTATTCGGAGATTTTGGTGGCCATTGTGCGCTGGAAGTGAAGCGAGGAACCTCCTGTTGGAATGTTTGCGGGCCCAAGGCTTTAATACACCCTCCAGAATATTTTCGCGATAATATTTGGCATTTATTCTGATGCCATGGTCGATTAATACGAGCGGAGAGCGACCATCGGCTGATATGGGCCCGCACTATAACCATCACCATGGCCGGCGCTTGAGTTCTGGTGGCCAAGCGAAGGTGCACATTTTCAGCTGTTTTCTTTGGCAAGTAAACACGGTCATTTCGTTTTTTTAACAAACTGCTGGACAACGAATGTTTTCACATCGGAGAATACCAAATTCGGCAGTTCACCACTTTCGGCCAAGCGAAGCAACTCTGTAGCACTTTTGTGTCTAACTCCTTTATGTTGCGGTCTAAATTCTTGCACTTATTGAAATTTCAATGGCTTTACCCCGAGCTCATTTTTCAATATTTGCTGAATGGAATATTGCGATATGTTCGGCTCACGAACCATTTTTCGGCCACTGCGAGGCGGGTTTCGATCAAGTCGCTTCTTTACTTTTCGAACCATTTCTGCTGATGTTACTGTTTTCTTGCGTCCATTTCCTTGACATCGGGCTACGCTACCAGTATCACGGTAACGAGCGATGGTACGAGACACAAAAGATTTATTCATATTTAAATGCTGGAGTGCCAATAACGATAGCCACTTGTGGTTTTCCAGTCAAATATAAAGAAATCACACGTGGTGGTTCAATTCCATCACGAATAACCTTTTTTCTGGAAAATTCTCACCAAATCGGACGAGTGGCTTAGAAATGACAGCAGTCTGAAGTTGGTTGCAGATTTTTCTGGTGGCCAACTATACCAGGATTGTTCATTAGAAACAATATGATAGCCTTCGACAGATTCTACATTCATATAATGAACAATAATTTTGAGGATGAACATGGATTCTAATGCACTCCCACAGCATTGGAATACCTACTTGAAAAAATGCGGGATCTGTTTGGGTATTAATAAATTTTTATTCATTCTATAGGGGGTAGAACTCCTGTGTCAAGGGCAAAAGTAAAAAATTGCCTAGATGTTGCGGCCGTTTTAATTCTTAACAGCCAATTGTGGTTCAATGCTTACGGGGGCTTACATATTCATTCAAGGGCTGTTTGCCACTTGAATTTTAATTCTTAATTTATTTTTTTATTTATATTTTTTTTGACGGAACTAAAATCAATGGCATTGCAATCGAGGATTTTCATTAGATAACATGTTTAAATTTACCATTCTCTAAAATTTAACCATTCATTTGTTGAAGATACCACCATCTATTGACAAGATAAACATTTGTTTTTTTTTTAACTTTGAAATTAATTGGTTTGCTTTTGAAAATTGACAAATAAAAAATAACAAATTTGGTTCGTAAAACAAGAGTGTACCCAAAGGTTCCTTACTACTGTATTGATTACTATATTCACATGTTCCAATTGAATAATGTATTTTTTTCTCTCTTAATAAATCTCCCCCCTTGTTAACTCATTAGACTGAGGTAAAGAAAGCCGCTGTGTCTGGTAACTTGGATGCTCCCGAGGGTGGTTTTGATGCCATTATGCAGGCCATAGCTTGTCGTCAACAAATTGGTTGGCGGGAACAGGCTCGTCGCTTGTTGGTGTTCTCAACGGATGCTGGTTTCCATTATGCTGGTGATGGCAAGGTAAGATTTCCCTTTCGAAGTTCTCTCTAGAAATACAATTTATTTGTATCTTTAATTAATTTATGTTTTAATTTATTATTTATTTCATTATTAATTTTTTTCTTTTTATTTTCATATTCCCAGCTTGGTGGCGTCATTACACCCAACGATGGTGAATGTCATTTGAATTCGGCTGGTCTCTATACCCATTCGGTGATACAAGATTATCCCAGTATTTCACAAATCAATCACAAGGTCAAACAGAACTCCATTAACATCATTTTCGCTGTTACCCAAAATCAACATTCGGTATATCAAAAGTTATCTCAACACATTGAGGGTTCTTCCAGCGCTGTGCTGTCCAATGATTCTTCCAACGTTGTCGATTTGGTTCGAGAGGAATATAGCGTAAGTGTTTGTTTTTAATTTTAAAAATATATCAATTTATTTTTAATTATCTTGGATCCTTGCAGAAAATCTCTTCCTCCATTGAAATGAAGGACAATGCCACTAGCCATGTTAAGATTACCTATCACTCGACCTGTTTGAATGGCGACACCGAGCTATCCACATCGAAATGTGATGGCCTGAAGGTGGGCGATATTGTAACATTCAATGCCAAAATTATGGTCACGTCTTGCCCCGCTGATCCCGCCGAATGGAATCAAGTTATTCAAATCTACCCTGTTGGTATTAATGAAAGTTTGATTGTCAACTTGGAAATGTTGTGTTCATGCGATTGTGAGAGACCCGGTTCCATTGGTTATGAATTGAATTCCGATCAATGTAGCAAACATGGCAAATTGATGTGCGGCATTTGTGATTGTGATGATATGCACTTTGGTCATTCGTGTGAATGTTCCAACAATGAAATCCATCCGGAGAAGGTCAACGATTTTGGTTGCCGTGCTGACAACACTTCCGCCGTCGATTGTAGCGGTCGCGGTACATGTTTGTGTGGTGTTTGTGATTGTGAAAAACGTGCCAATGCCGAGGAAGTAATTTCGGGACGTTTCTGTGAATGTGATAACTTCTCGTGTGAACGTCACGAGCAACAGTTGTGTTCGGGTCCAGATCATGGTACCTGTGAATGTGGCCAATGTGTGTGCAAACCAGGATGGTCAGGCAGTGGCTGCAATTGTAAGACATCCAATGAAAGTTGTTATCCACCAGGTGGTGGCGAAATTTGTTCGGGACGTGGTGAATGTGTGTGCGGCAAATGCGAGTAAGTAATGTATTTTTATTGTTGTTGTGATAATACGTTTTGAAAATTATACATAGTTGAATGGACCGACTCACATTGACAATAGATCTATGGTTGATAAAAATATCGAGGTAAACAAAGTTTGAAGAAAATCGCTGACTTGTTTTGCATCTTATGTGATATAATCATTGAAAATTGGGAACCTTTTTGGGAGAGGTACCCTAGAGGGGTGATCCTATCTCCACATAAGACCCTGTTTTCATAGAAATATTTGGATGTGCCGGATTTAAAGAGAATTTCGACTTTTGTGAACGTTTTGATCTTTCCAAATTTTGACCCATGTATGACCCATCTTCATATCAGACCTTGTGTTGTTAGAAATCTTAGAATGAGCAAAGTTTTAAGATAATCGGGTGATTATTTCGCATATTATTTAGTTATTAAATATTTTGACCCCTTTGTTGGGGGAGGTACCAGCAGGAATTGACCGAAATTGAAATGTGTGTTATTTGAAGATAATTCAATGCTTATTTTTTAAAAATTTAAGCTATTTGTGGGGGAAGTACCAGAAGCAGTGGGCCGGTACATCCCTTCTTCACACCAAATATTTTGTTGTTGTAGCAGTAGTACATAAAAAAATTGTAATGAAAAATTCATATTAATTCTTATTCTTAATTTCTACAGATGTAAATCGACGGAAGAGGGTCGCTTCTCGGGTGATCATTGTGAATACTGCCCCACGTGCACGGGTCGTTGCCATGAACTTAAAGACTGTACCCAATGTCAAGTGTATCGCACGGGCCCCCTAAAAGACGAGGAAGATTGTCGCACAAATTGTACCCTATTCACACCCATCGAAGTGGAGAAGGTGGAAATTGATGAAACCAAAAATGAATATTTGTGTATATTCTATGATGAATACGATTGTAAATTCAAATTCAAGTATCGTGAAGAGGATAACAAAATCATTGTAACCGCTCAGACAGAACGCGAATGTCCACCTAAGGTGTTCATGTTGGGCATTGTATTGGGTGTTATTGCTGCCATTGTATTGGTTGGTTTGGCCATTCTCTTGCTGTGGAAATTGCTGACCACAATTCATGATCGTCGTGAATTTGCCCGATTCGAAAAGGAACGCATGATGGCCAAATGGGATACGGTAAGTAGTGGAATATGATGGAAAGATTGCCATAGAAATGGGGTCTTTAATTGTTAATGAAATGGCTTCTCTATAGACATGTTTCTATGTGACGATAGGAAAGAAAACTGGGAAGAAAAAAGCCAATTTCATGAGTCTTTTTTAATTGAATTAAAATTCAGTAAAAAAGCTGTAAGTTCGGCCGGGCCGATCTTTAAATAGCCTACACCATTTTGAACGATTTTGGCAATTTTTAAAAAAATAAAATCCTTTAAAAATTCTATTAAAATCGACGTGGACCTGAATATGCAACTTCCGAACAACGTTATATTGGGGCTAAACGAAGACTTTTCTGTCATAGGCTGTAGTATCCATTCCACAATTCCGGCGAATAATGTCGCTAAAAGCACCAATGGGGGCTATATGAAGACGTGGACTTGCACAAACAATTTTCTGTTGTAGGCTGTAGCATCTGTTACGAACTTCAAATGCCAAATTTGAAACATTTCCGGTGAATAATGTCGCTAAAATCGTCAAAATACCCAACATCGGGATGTACCATTATATGGGGGCTATATGAAGACGTGGACTTGCACAGACAATTTTCTGTTATAGGCTGAAGCATCCGTTACGATACCAAATTTGAAATAATTCCGGTGAATAATGTCGGTAAAATCGTCAACATACCGAAAATCGGGAGGTACCGTTATATAGGGCTATACGAAGACATGGAGCTTCACAAAGAATTTTCTGTTATAGGCTGAAGCATCCGTTACGAACTTTAAATACCAAATTTTAAACAATTCGGGTGAAAAATATCGGCAAAATCATCAAAATACCGAATATCGGGGGTACCGTTATATGGGGGCTATTCGAAGACGTGGACCTGCACAGACAATTTTCTATCATAGGCTGTAGTACCCATTACGAACTTCAAGTACCAAATTTGAAACATTTCGGGTGAATAATGTCGCTTAAATCACCAAAATACCGAAAAAAAGAGAGGTACCATTTATATGGGGGCTATACCAAAACGTAGACCTACATAAGCCATTTTCAATTCAAAAAGTCCTGCAGACATAATACACATTTGAGTAAAATTTTATCAACCTTCTTCATTTTGTTCGTAAGCTAGAGTTATTATCACAGACGGACATCGCTAAATCAACATAGAATTTTATGCTGATCACGAACACATATACTTTGTGGGGTCTAAAATGTAAATTTCGAGGTGTTACAAACGGAATGACAAACTTAATATACCCTCGATACTATGGTGGAGGGTATTAAAATATAAAACACTTAAAAGGAATGGGTATTTTTCTTTTGAGTTCCCTTCGAAAATTGGCCATAAATGAATATCAATTTCCAATATATATCTATTGCTTCCTTTTTCCAATAGGCAATTTTCCTCCCCTCTTGGGAGGGAAAATACGAAAAGTCAAATTGCTGGATGTAAATCAATGCTCAAATAATACAATTATTTTTCTTTAAATAATAAATGTTTTGTTTCATTTCTTCATTTCAGGGTGAAAATCCAATTTACAAACAAGCCACAACGACCATCAGGAATCCCATGTATACTGGCAAATAAGTCGTGGGACGATATCCGTGGTTAACTTACAACCACCTTTAAATTAAGGATAATTGCGTGGGAAGAAAAACGGAAAATTATATACCGAACACCGAATATGCCATATATATAAAAAATCCCAACAATGTTTCTTCTTTTGTTTTCTCCTAACCAATGAATTGTCAGAATGTCTTTGTCTAATAGGTTTCGTTCTTTCTTTTAATTGATCAAATAATGTCTTCTCCTCTCAACTGCCATTTATTGAGTCGAACTTAATTTTTATATTCTAAACAAAAATTGTATCTTCATGCCCTCCTATATACATTTTTTTATTATATCATCTATAGATCTGTATTAGTCGCCACTTAATAATATTCTTGACAAAGTACTAAATATGTGCCTCAAAAACAATTTTTTACATACATACAAAAATATATTTTGTACTTTTTTAAATAGAAACAAACAGAAAAAACCGAAACTTTATTTAAAAACGATTTTTTTTTAATTTCTAGTATATAAGAAACAAGAAAAATAACTTAAAAAAGTAAGTCTAAAAGAAAACATACACGTATCGAACACAAAACAAACAAAAATTGTCTTTAGACAAAAAGGAAACTTCAAATTATATAAATTATACAACAATCCTCCCAAAAAACGAAAACGCAACAACATTGCAATACTAAGCCAAAATACCCAATAATATGTTTTGTATTATTTACCACAACAACAACAAAAAACTAATAATATTTTTTTATTAAAAAAAAACTTCCGTAAAAAAATAATTCATTTTTACCCTTTATTTATTTGTTTTTTTTTTTTTTATTTTCTTCTTGTTTTTGTATTAACCATTGGTGTCTTTTATTCTAAAAAACGTAAATTGTGTATGTATTTTTTTGTTAATTTTTAATTTCATAGTGTTCTCTACTTAAATATAAGTTACATTTTTTAACTTCTAAGAATTTTTTAATTGTGTGTGTTTTTTTTTTTTTTTTTTGTATGATTTTAATTAATTTAAAAAAATATCTCTGTATATGTTTTTGATTTTAAGTTCACTTTTTTATTATTATTTTTTTTCAGTATGTAGTTGAACTGATTAATATTAACATAATTAAATAAACAAAAAAAAAACAAAAACCTTAAATCCCCCCAAAAAAAGGTTTTCTCTGTTTTTGGGTGTCTTTGATGGGTGGGTGTACAGGGTGAGATAAAGAAACTGCAACAAAGTCAAACGCCATAGTTTTTGAATTTTTTTAAATTCTATTAAATGAAAGCAAAAAAATGTTGGAAATAGCATCAAATTTTAGAATAAGTTTAGATTTGTTTGAATTAGCCAATGAAACCGTCACAGGTGCCCGAATGTTGCTCTGCGGTACTTGGGCCCATTCCCGGCGAAGCGCTTGCTTGAGGTTATCGACACTTTGGTATTTTTTAGTGCCAATCTTGGTTTCCAAAATTTTCCAGACACAATAGTCCAACGGATTGGTATCCGGAGATTTTGGTGGCCATTGTGGACTGGAAATGATGCGAGGAACCTCATTTTGTAACCATTCTTGGGTGGCGAGTGCTGATTGTCCATGATGTCACGATGACTACGAGCGGAGAGCGACCATCGGCTGAATACACACATATGGTGGCCAACTGAAGGTGCCTCTTTGGCAAGTAAACAAGTTTGTTTACAAACTGCTGGACAACGAATATTTTCTCATCGGAGCGGGAAACCCAAATTCGGCAGTTATCCACTTTCGGCCAAGCGATGCAACTCTTTAGTTATTTTGAGTCTATTTTCTTTATGTTGCGGTGTAAGTTCTTGTGCGAAATAAATACCCGATTTTTCGGACATTCATATTCCTATCAACACAAGATCTGGTGAAAAATTGGATTTATCGTCCCCTCCTTCTCCCCACGTTGTAAAAATATTGAATAACTAAAAATAAAACCGACTGATACTTTTTAATTTAATTTTAATACATCACTCCACGCTATGCTTATTATATTCCTCAAATGGTGTATACATTCCGGCTGTTTGACTAAATAATAGAAACCTCCATCAAGAAATGTATTCCTGAGTTTGATCAAGGAACCTTTTTATAAGCCAACTAGCATCTTTGCAATAGAACAAATAAACTCCAAAAACTTCGATAAATGCGCAGACCATTTCAATTTGATGATGGTGAAAGACTTTGCTATATCTCAGTCTCTAACTCACTACACAAAGTTGTCAAATTTGTAGGGTGCTCTATCGTTATCAAGTCATACCAAATATGTAACATTTAACTCAGCACTTCAACATTTGAGCAAACATTAACCAGATACAGAAAATTCAGAACCCATCCATTAATCTAATTCAAATTCCAGCATAATAAAGTTTTGATTTTTCTTTATTTTTTCCAAAATGAACTCGTTTTTTTGTAACAAAAAAAAAAAATCTCTCGGAAGAACTATGTTAGCGAGCGAGAGAGAGAGAGAAACGCACAATAAGTATACAATTTTACTTGTTTTTTATATCATTTTTAAAAATGATGGGCTTTTGTTTTTTAAAAACTAACTGCAAGTCATTCAAGGTTTGAGTATCAGCAATTTACCACAAGAAGCAACTTGATCAAATGCATCATATATTACACCCCTTGAAAGTCCATAGAAGGAGAAGGAGTAGTTGTCTCGATACATACACACCGGAGACTCCCTCATTTCTGGTCTGGTCTGGAAGCAATATAACAAATCCATTTCGATTTAGAGAAAGCGTAACTGTCGTTGTCTATTTAATACACATATCTGTGTCCAGCCATTTTCAATGGAATATAGAATCAACATCTGGTGCACCCTTTTGATGTTTAAATTTCGGTTTACTTGGACGGGTATAGAGACTGGTTTGACTGCTGCGCTGGGATTGCATTAATGACTCTTGATAATCCTCTTCTTCGATACGTTCGGTTATGTTTAGAGTTAATCGTTTTACTTTTTCCTTTTCTTCGCGTATTTTCTCTTCTTGTAATTTCAAATTTATGGCCAACTGAGAATCAGAGGGTGCAACAAATGATTTAAATTGTTGTTTGCCACCCTTACCACCACGTACCATGAGAACAAAGTTAATTGGTCCGCTGGCAGGGTTTTTCGAATCATTTGACACTGCTGCCGATGACGAGGGGGCAGGGGCTGCATTTGAAGCAGAAGAGATTTGCTCATAAGATTTCTTATTATTTCGTACCATCATGGGTACAGGAATATCCTTTGTATTGGGTTTAATGGTTTCCTTGAGACGCTCTTGATAGGAATCCTGGGCCATTTTTTCAAACATTTGCTCAAATTCCAAATCTTCTTTAGTTTTTTCGGAGATTTTAGGTATGTTGGGAACAACATCATCCTCTGGCATACCTTCATTTTCCGTCCAATCTGTGGTATTGGCCTGATTTGCAGCCTCCTCGTCATCTTGGCATTCATCTCGGGGACGACGATCCATTTCTGATGATGAATCATCACTGGCCTTTAGAAGAAATAGAAGTAAATTTTTAAAATAAATTAAAATATTTGGTACAAATTAAAACTTACTCCATCATCGAATTCACTATCCTCGGGTATTGGTTGCAAATTATTGGCTTCGTCAGCATCTTGCTGCTGTTGTTGTTGGGCTGTCAATTCCTTGAGTTGGGGATATAACTTCTCTCTCAACTTTTCAATAGCTTCCTTTGCCTGTTCCAAGTTTTTAAACAGCTTTAATTTGGGTCTTACATTTGCCAAGCAGTCACGATACATGTGATCCACCAGTATGGGAAACAAGTCATGGGTATCCTGAACTCTACTAAAAATCGGGTTTGATTTCTTATACCAATAATAATGTTGGAAGAAAATCAAGAAGTAATCCAATCTATTTAAGAAAATGTTCATCAATTAGTCTTGTTCGAATTCGGAATACTGGTAAAAATACTTACTTTTGTTTACTTGTTGAACTGGTAAAGTAGGGGCCACAGGTGTCCAATAGGACACAAGCCAATTTCAAACGGAACAAACTATCTGGTGGATCTAAGGGTGATATAACACCCTCCTCCGTAGAAACTCCCAGCGAAATTATAGAATAGAGAGTATTTAAAATATTAGTAGATTCCACCAATTTATAATTGTACAATTCGCCCAAATATTTGGCCATTGCTATACGACGCTGCGCCAGCTTTGGTGAATGTATTTCCAGGCCAGCTCTTATATCTTCGAAAACATTGTCAATGACCATGGTTACAGCTCGTTCCTGATATGAACTAAGACCCGACAAGACATCTGCCAGGCAACGTATTAGGGGAAAACGTAAAAGATATGCTTTGGATAGACATTTGATAACATAACTGCTGACACTTGGATCATTCCAATTGATGCGTCTCAGCATTTTAATTGATCGTTCCACATTCTGCTTATTTAATTCCTCAAAGATCAAATGGCGTATATATTCATGAATGGGCGGACGTAAAACAACATCTTGCTTAACTGTCTCTGGCGGTTTGACTAAATAATAGACATTCTCCACTTGGGCAGCATGCCTTGAATCTAAGGCTGTGGCAGTTTTCAAACGCATCATTTGATCAAGGAACGTATTCATCAGCCAACGAGTATCTTTGCAATTGTACAAATATACGCCGGCAACTTCTATGAAGGCGCAGGCCATTTCAATTTGATGATGTTGAAAGTCTCGCAAGAGAATTTTCAAACAACTTAAGGCATCGAACTTCTTTAGTAAACCAAATTTAACCATTTCACCCATGAAACGTACAACCTTAATTTTCGATTCAATATTTAGCTGGTTTTTCATGCGTATATGCCATTTGAATTCCTTGCGCAGTAATTCCCACAAATCCAATGCCACATCAGTATTACAGAGATTAATAATGGCCACAAAGCGGGATAGAAACGGCAGCAAATCCAAGCGATTTCTGTTGAAATAAAATTAAGTCAATCCTGATGCAACTTTTCTTTTTGCTTTAGCAACTTACCTGTGTACCCCAAATATTGATTTCGTCAATTTCTTCCGGTTGTTTTTCGTATTGTAGTTAAGTAAAAATTCTATGGCCGCCGAATCGATGAGCTCTTTATTCACACAATTATTGAGATTTTTCAGAAATTGTGCAAACTGTTGTTTTATTGAACCTGCTGTTTGGTTATTCATTCGTCCCGCTTCCATGAGAGCATTACCAATTTTATCCGGTAATGATCCACTGACTGGAATATCATCATCTTTGTCATCTTTATCATTGGCTGGATCAGACGTTGTTGAGGGTGGATCATCTAAATCCATGTCATTGTCAATTTCGGCATCTAGAGCTTCTTCTGTCATTACTGAGGTATCTTCAATTTGTTCTGGGTCAATTTTGGGGGCCGAAAAATTGGGTAAAAATTGTCTCAAATCTGGTAAATCAACATAAAAACTTTTGGTTTCTTCATCACCCCAAGGATCTAGTTCACCCAGAGCTGCTTCATCCATCATATTTTCAATGACGGCATCGGGATTGCATGGCTCAATTTCTTTTGCCAACTCGGGCAAGGGTTCATCAAGTAAATCGGAAAGGGTCTGGGCTGAGGACAACAATTTGTCGAAGTTTGCCTGCATTAGTTCGCATTTCTCCTTGGTTTTAGTGGATATTTCACCTAAAATTAATGTAAAATGATACCGTGTTTTTTTAGCGAAAATAATTGTACAAACCTTTGGAGGCCATTGCCTTCTTCAAATTGTTGGTCATATTCATCAATTCCGCCTGTTCCGAAAGCAAATATTTACACAAATACTTGAAGTAGTCTTTCAGGAGATTCCTTAGGTTCTGCTGTTTGTCGGGAGCTAGGAAATCGGATTTCGGTATGGGTTGATTACCATATTTAGCAGCCAGGTTTATCATTTTCCTTGGCACAAGCCCTGCATATTCTTCGCCACAGTGACGACAAAATGATAGTATAATTGAAAAGTTACTATGATCTTCTTTGTCCTGAGATATGACATTGGTCAACACATTGCCCAGCAAGCCCAGACCTTGTTTGGTATTTATCACACCCGAACTGACAAGTTCGGCAAACAAACGCAAATCCACACGCATTTTACTGGCATTGCCAATTTTCTCTCCCGGCTTAAGCTGCAATGTTTTCTGCCATGCCTCAAAGAATTCATTATCGAAATCTTCATACGTCTGATGTAGTTTGGAGCAGAGCATTACAACTGCCGGTACATCAGTCATTTTGATTTTTGCCTCAGACAAGGCTGAACATATTTCCGATATGTATTTGCTTAAATTCAAACCTTTCATATCCTTCATCAGTGCATCCAGTTGAGCTGCCGTAAATTGCTTGAGTTTCTTAACAAATGCCGTATTTCGCTTAAGACTGGAATCCAGTTTAACAAAATAGGACTCCTCTGGAAGTTCGAAATTGGTATTTTCATAGCGAAGCTGAGATTTTGCTGAAATTTTTGCTTTCAGTTCGTTAAGAAATGCCGTGAGTTCTTCCTTCTCCTGGGCTTCCACATCGACAGCACTGTCATCTGCGGCCTGTTCTGTGTCTTTATTTTCAGCATCTTTTTCTTCAACCATTGTGGAGATTGAATGTGATTATTTGTTTCGTATAACTCCTGAATTTTGAATGTTTAAAAATTGCCACAGAATAATGTTTAAAATGTTTTTAATTTGTTGAGATTTTCCAGAAATAGTTGAAATAGCTGGTTTCAGACAACGTAGTGAAATGATTTTTTTGACGGCGGTGGCAAACGATCGACGATGGCGGCGTATCATATGCACAGATGCCACAATAGGTGGAATTCTACCAATATTGGCAGCTATTTATAGGATTGATAACTTGATTTTTATTTTCGTAACTTTTGTAAAGCTTGAAATGAAAAAATGTGTGACTAGTTTATTCTGTTAACAAATTACTAATCAAATGTTTGTGATAATAATAACAATACTAAGTGCATCTTAATCTATCACGGATTTGTTGTGTCAAATTGCGTCTCGGCCGTTATAAGATTTTCGAAGGATTTACAGGAAGTGGAACATAAAAATTGCTAAATAGGAAACAAAACCATAGAAATATATTAGGAGAATAGGGGGTAGTCCAAATTATTGGGCAAAAAAAGTAGTATCAAGGTTAAATCAATAAATTGCATGTTGTCTGTGGTTGTCACCAACAGCAACACATAAATAACTGTCTATAAACATTTATTTCACATTGACATAGTCCTCATTTTTTAATTACCCCTTCGTGGCTATGTAACAAACTGTTGCCATGTTTGCCAAAATAAAAGTTTTATCAATAGCAACCAATGCACAACGGGGTTCCTGGGGGATATTTGTATTAACTTGCAAGGAAATTCCATTACACTTGCATCAGTCTTCAATTAACTGTGAGCGGGAGCACTTTATTTTCTTTGTGTCGCGTGTGCAAATGATTTGCTGGCAAAATGAAGATAAATTTCTTCAACAACGCTATCCACCAGTGTATCCCAAGACTGAAACTTTAAAAGATTTATTATTGAAATCAAGTGTGCCCATTGTGAGTTTTGATTAAACTACGCAAAGAAAAAGAGCAGAAAAATAGATATTTTTGGAAAATATTGTTAAAAATATATCAGATACTTTTTCAAAATGAAATTCTTTAAAGATGTCTATATTGAAAATCGCCTTTTCGACCATCGTTTAGTAAAAAATGATCTAGTCGATCAGTGGCCCACGGAAAAGGGCAATAAATATGTGGAACGCAAGGATCATCGAAATTTAATGGAGTCATATGTATTCATCTACTTCACTCATTCCATAAAATATCCATGCACAGTATTGGTAGATTATTTCATGGCACATTTTTATTTAAAGTATTAATTCGCTCTCTTTTTTTAAGAAAATTGAATTTTTATGTTAGATGGCTAAAGATAAAGCGATATTTACCTCATTCTGTTCCCGACTGTTTATGGACAAAGAGCGCGTTTAAAGAGTGAGTACATAAGCAGCTTGGCATCATGGCATGTAAATGGCAAATTATGAGAAAAAATTACAGTAGAATTCGAGTGCGACTCTGGAATCCCTTTATGATATGTCAAAATATGCAATGTCAAAACTACAAACTGCTTATGTACCCACACCTTTAGACTACTAAATCTACTCGATTTCAAATGTCAATTCCTTTGAGAGCGAGTTGATTTCGTAAATCTAAACGTGCTTAAAGCCTATTTGGAATGAAACCCCGAACAATAAAATACGTTATAACCCGACCTTACTGTACTTATTACTGACTTTTACAACCTATCCATAGTTTTCATTTTTGTTTTAGAAAATTGCATTTTATTTGTTTGTCTGTTCACAATAAATTTTATTTTATAATGGCTACAAAATTTGAAGAAACTGTTATGTATTCCCAATTACAGCCATGGAGTACTGCCGGAGCTCCGCCATGTATGGAACCCGTATCCGGACCATCGGTACCACCTCGTGTTGGAACATCCTATCAGGTTAGTTGGATGTCTTTCTATTTCCAAAAAAATAGATTTTATAGATAACAAATATTGTTTGTTGTTGTTGTTGCTATGCCAATTTTCCAGACAGCTCATCCACATCCATGGCGACCAACATTGAGCTATGAAATGATTGAAGTTAAAAATCTTGCCGAACAACCGGTAACCAATCAATTGGTTAAGCCAACATTTGCTCCGGCTAACATGACAACGGAACCTTTGACATTCCCAAATTTAGTGACGGGCTTTCATCGAAATCCTCAGCATGCTGCCAGGGCGGCATTGTATACTCGCTATACGCCCGGCGAATGGGCCAATAACAATCTCTCGAAATATGCAGAGTCGAATATAAATCGGTACGTGAAAGTTGATAATTCAAGATCTATACGACGCATATTCTTATATCCAGAACTGCGTGAATGTAAAAGTTTTTACTACCTTCTATGATATCGAAAAAAATGCAAAACTATTAGATTATTGCAGGTTTTGAAACAGAGCAATATTTTACTATGAAATAGGTCGGAAAAAGTAAACGGGGCCAAATATCATAATCGTTTTGAAAGACTTGCGACCAGTATATTCCAACTGTCATTTCCATTGCGTATACGACAAATATTAAATGCAGTGGATTTCAAATGTTAAAAACTATTGTAACGTGATGTGACATATACACAGTGGAATTGACAGTTAAAATCCTCTGAGCTTGTTGTATGATAATGGCGTTTTTTTTTTCGAATGACAAGTTTTAATAAATCGTATTATTTGTCAGTTCCATTGATTTAACGTCAAATCACGATAAAATGATGCAGGTAGGCGCATCGACACAGCTGTTGGTACAATGAGCTGTCAAAATATATTTTGAATTTTAAATTTTGATTAAAAAATCTTTAAATTAGTGAAATTTGTTGAAAATCTTATATCATACCAACTCCTGAAATAGGAAGAAAAAGAAAATGTATTAAAATCCATTAATTTTTTAATATTTTTGACACATCAATATTAGCGAGTGTTGATGTTTTTGCCTGTATTCTTCTACCATGATAGAAGACTACAGAAAGTGGCATCGACACAGCTGTTCAGACAGTGAACTGTGAAAACTATTTTGGAGTTGAAAATTTTAAATGAAAAATTAATTAAATTTTTTAAAAAAAATGAAAAAGGCACATCATAAAAACATTTGTTACTTACTTTACACGTTTTATGAAAATGTGTTCGGGGTAAATAAGAGGTTAGAGTAATTACATTTTAAGTTTTTATTATTATCGGAAAAATTCTACGAAACCCATTCCATTTGTAGCAATCAATCAGAGCGTTTGCGGAATGATGCGGTACGTCTTATGCGTGAAACCGACGAGAAAACCGCTCAGGGTCAAAGAGATGCTGGGCGTCGTTTGGGCGAACGTATAACGGATGTGACATTTTGGCGTAATGAACTCAATACGGAAATGGAAAAATTGGTCAGTGAATCGTCAGCATTCTCAGAGTTGAAGCGTAAATGTGGCAAGGCTATGTTAGATTTGGAAGCGCCACTACACATAGCCCAAGAGTGTCTTTATCATCGTGAAGGACGTGCCGGTGTGGAAAAAGTTCATGATTGCGTGGAGAAAGCATTGCTGCTGGAAATTGACAATTTGAGAAATTCTCGTGACAAACTGAAGGAATTACATGAAAGGGTGAGTTTTTATTAAAAAAAATGTAAAAAAACCATTTTATTTTAAAACAATATTTCAAATTTCAGATAACAAATCAAGCCCACGATTGTCGCGCTGCCCAACATCTTTTGGAAGAAGATGTTTCGGGCAAGGAATCGACTTTGGGAATTGATTCGGTTTGCCATCAGTTAAATAACTATAGCAGAGGTTTGGCTTACTATGGTGGTATTGAAAAATATGATCCGACTGTGAGCACCCAAGAATCTTGGGCCGAAGCCAGTAGTCAACGTGTTAGCAGGTGAGTAAAAACCGATAAAACGGAGAAAAAATATTTTTTGTTAAAATATATTTTAGAAATTTAAAATTTTAAGAAATTTCAAATGCAGTGGATTTCATTTCACGTATACACAATGGAGCTTAGAATTGAATTTCACTGGATTCCATATATTTAAACGTGTTTTCAACTCGTATTAAAATTTTTAGGTTACGTTTAAATTAATCATATAGAAAATTACAAGATTTACCGTCATTAAATGAAATTGGCAGTGGAATCTTGTTAATTAAATTAATTTATTAACAAAATCCGTCATTTACTTACCTATCTTGGTAAAACGCGTAATTAAGGTATCAGTATAAACTAGCTTTGGTCATTTATTTGACGTAGAAGAAAAGGAATTGACAGTGGTAGAGGAAAACAGGTAGTCGCATCGACACAGCTGCTGTCAAACCAATTTTGAAATTGAATGATTTGAATAAAAAATTATTCAAATATGTACAAATTGTTGAAAAATACATTTCATAACAACCTCCGATTGTTGTCGTATAAGAAAACTTATAAAAAACTAGTTAATAAAAAAAAAAATAAAAAGTTTGACTTATCAATGTTCCCCAACGTTGATGCATCTACCTGTATTCTTCTACCAATGAATGACAATCTAAATCGGTTTAGATTAAGACAAGACGGGACAGAGCTCTTTAATGGTTAATTCAAAATCTATTTTTCAAACGTAAATGTCAAATTGATCACGATTAATGAATAAACAAGTATCTCATATAAACGTAATCTTACACTCAGATTAATCATATAATATCTATTTTCTCTCTAGATCACAAGCCGAGAGAGCGAAACTTTCTCAATTGCGCAGTGACTCTGAGGCTACAGTCAATGCCATAGCGACATCGGTATGGGATCATTGGAATAATACGAATAATGCATTTGATCGCCGTTCCCAAGAAATGGCAGAATCGAAAAATAAAATTCAACTGCATTTGCATAAAACGCAGCAGGAACTATTTGATTTGGAAAAACACATATTCCTGCTGCAAAAAGCCATTCAGGATAAATCGAACCCCCTGAAAGTGGCACAGACCCGTTTGGAGGCCCGGTCTCATCGTCCGGGTGTTGAATTGTGCAAGTAAGGAAAAAATTAAATAGCATTCTTAAATAATTTCTCTCATTGTTTCATTTGATGATTTCAGAGATTACGCTCAGTTACGTTTAACTCAAGAGGTGGAGGACATCAAAGGTGTGGTCAATAATCTACATCACAAACTTCAGGAGGCCGAAGCCCAACATCAGAGCTTGCTGAAGACTCGTGCCACTTTGGAAAGTGATTTGCGAAATAAAGTCAATGCTTTGTTCATCGATCGTGAAAAATGCATGGGTCTGAGACGTTCATTCCCCGTTGATAATATGATCAAATATTAGTATTAAAATGTCCATTGTGTATTTTCATTCCAGTGTCCTATAGTAAAAATAAAATCAACTTTTAGGAATACAATATTTTTTTGTTATTCCAATTTAATTTCCGGTCATATGCTAATAATCAAGGAGAAATTAAAATCAGAATAGAAAAACCTTATCATCAAGGAAAAATAGACAACCAAAACTTGAAGCCGTTTTTGCTTTTTCTCTTAAAAATCATAAAAAATAAATTGCAGTTTGCATCAATAGGTGTGTCTGGTTATACTAAAATTTATAATAATTGTTACAAATTGTTACTGGAAGTCGTCTGTTAATCCGGAAGTTCTGCAAAAGAGAACGATTGGAGAGAGAAATTTTGACAGTTCTTTCAGTGAGAATTTCCAAGTTTGTGCTGGACAAATTTTTTCTTGCAATAGGTGTGTCTGGTTACCCTAAAATTTGTAACAATTGTTACAAATTGTTACTGGAAGTCGTCTGTTAACCCAAAAGTTCTGCAAAAGAGAGCGGTTAGAGAGAGAAATTTTGACAGTTCTTTCAGTGAGAGTTTGCAAATTCTTGCTGGAAAAATTTCTTCTTGCAATCACTTGCAACTCTTCTTCTTCTCATTGATCGAGATTCAATCAGATGTTTTCTATTGTTTATTTATTTCTTTTTGTGCTTTTAATTTGAAAATATTGTTTTGGAATTAACAAGACTATTTTTTTTTTGGAGAACAACTTTACAAAATGTGAAAAACATAAATATTAACATGTAATAAGAAAATAAAAGACTATTCCCAACATTTTTAGACAAATGACATTAGCAACAGGTTTAAAGGATTCCGCGGAACACATCAAATCTATCTTCCTTTTATTGCTCATATTTTTATTTTATTGTGAATTTCCTTTTTATTTATAAAACTTGTGAAATTGGTGGTGGTTCCTTCCGTTTAATTATTTTAATGGGGGACAAATTGGTTTGTTTTGACAAATCAGCTGATTAGTTGCAAGCTTCTGGAGGAATACCGTCTGTTTACTTTTCGCAATTTCCTTGCAAAAGAGAATAAAACTACCTTACTCTCTCAGAAAGATGTTGCTGGAAAATTCCTGCAGGAAAAGTAACCAGACACACCTAATCACTTGCAACTCTTCTTCTTCTCATTTTTATTTTTAAATTGTATCGTTTTGACAAATCAGATGATTAATTGCAAGTTTATTTAGGAATTCCGTATGTTTACTTTTAGCATTTATCTTGTAAAAGAGAATAAAACTAACATACTTTAAAAAAAAACTTCTTGACAAATCCTGAAGGAAAAATAACAAGACAGACCTAATTTCTGCTAACATCTGTTATATGATATGTCTTATCGACGTTCACAGAGTCAGCAATCCTGCGGATATGCCTTTTTCATACTGCTTTGCCCTCTAACGCATTCATTGTACTCTGTTTCTAGCATGAAGATTGATCTATCATTGTTCTAGTATTCCTAATAAACAGGATAAATATATCACTCCCCATATGCGTTTTTCTTTCGCATTAATATTTCGATATTGGTAAACGGACCATATTTTACCGATTAACTTAATCGATAATGTGTACTCCACTTAAATGTCATTTCGATGACTAGCTAAAATCAATCTACAAACCCCTAATTTACACAAAGAAGACTGTTTGCTCATTGGGTAAGTTTTGCAAAAATGCCGGTGAAAAATATAATTATTGCAAAAAATACGTGAAATTGTGTAGTATTTGTGTTATTTATAGCATTCAGGTATGACGATATATAGTTTTCAACAATTTATATGAAAAAAAAAACACCAAAGATGGCTTAAAACATCAAATGTATTCTGTTCAATGTTGTCTTTTTGGGACAAGGAAAGTTGCAATTTTACGTTCCAAATGTGAAGAAAATTTGATGGCATGAAGGACACAGAGATCTGCCCATAAAATGGAACTTATAAATATGAAAGGAAATTATTTTTAAACGTCCATATACCTATTTGTTAATTCCAAAACAACATGAAACTAAAGTGGTTCTACTTTACAGTGCTTATGACGTGTACTTAGGGTATTGTATTTTACAAGCGTTTTGTTTTTGTTGTTACTTTTTTTTTTGTTAATTTTCTAGATGTGCTCGATAGAATGCTTACAAAGATAACGGGTCTAAGAGTTGAAAAAATTATGAAAGCAGATTCCTAATTAAAGTGGATGGTGCTGGCTATAAACAATTTATGCACCAAGGCTAACATGCCGAGACTATTAGGATGTCCTTTTTATTTAATGCACAACGAGGATATGGAATGATTAGCGACCACAAAAGACAACTTTCCCATTAAAATGGGGTCAACCATGTAGAACTACCCAAGCACTGCCACTGGCCATAGTCGTTTTAAATATTTAAGAAAGGGTTAGCCAATCAAGGCAATTTTATCGCTCTATGAAGTTATTGAGATTCCAAAAGAATTGTCATCCAATCTAGGTTCCAAGATATTGGAGTATTTTATAGTAGTCATTCCTTCCTTAGATATCAAAATTTACTAAAACAAGTGTTGCTCGAGCTTGAGGTCTTTGTTGTATTTATTTCAATATTTATTTACTTATTTATTTATTTTAAATTTACTACATCCAGAAATGTGTCGCATCTTGAAGGTGTAGTGAAGGCTATATTATTTGATTTTATCTTCTATAAGCAAATATTCCAATGTAGATATGATTTCCACAAACAAATTTAATTTATATAATATATAATAATTTTTCTTGTTCATTTGCAGTGACGCCAAACAGAAGATAAATTTGTGTATAATATACAATGCGTTTGGCAATATTTTTATTAATATTTTGCATATTCGAATATGCTGTTGGAGTCGATCCAACAAATTTCAAAACATGTGAACAGAGCAGCTTTTGCAGGTGAGTAATTTGATTGATTTGTTAAAACAGATGAATTGTTATTGGTTTGCAAAAATTATAGGCGAAGCCGTAAAATACAACCTGGTAATTCTAAATTTGCATTGGTGCCCGGTTCCATGAACACCTATGCAAATTCAATAACAGCAGATATAATAAACAAAGAAACACAACATTTGTTCATTTTAAAATTGGAAGCGTTGGTGGTAAGTTTTGTAGGAAAATTTTAAGAGTGCATAAAATATTAATTTTGCTTTATGTTTGCAGGACAACAAATTTCGTCTATTGATTGATGAGAAAACTCCCTTGAAGCCCAGATATAAAGTCGAACATGTTTTAGTCGGGGAACCACAAACTGAACCGTAAGTTTTTTGCAACATTTTTCCCAAAGGAAATAAAACTAAATGTCAATTCATTTTACATCACATCACGAACTTCAGAAGTTTCCTAATATTTGGGATTATTTAAACATTTTTGTGCATATAATTGTAATTGTACTACGTATGCATGTATAACTAACATTGAACCGATTTTTTGAACAAGATCCCGTATAACCATAGAATCCAATATTTGCCCTTGTGATATATTAGTCCCAATATACTAGAATTTGGTTTATTATGATTTATGTTGTCGGACGCGTCCATAGATGGCGGATAGTGGAAAGCCCAGAAAGCTGCAAATTGAATAAGTAGAAGAAAATCTCAGACAGTTTGGCGGACCTTGCTATTCTTCGGAAAACAACAAGGTAGCACAACTAAACTCTTAATTGATTGGAACGTCTCTAAGGCAGACTTTCAGACTTTAGTACAAAAGTTGGTTAAAGAAGGCTAAACATAGAACTTGGACCAGATCTTGTGAGCTTATAGAGGGGTAAATAATACTGCCAGATTTCGTAAGATACTGCCAAAGGATCCCAAAGTCCATAGGCAATATAAAGCGAGATGGACTAACTCTGGCCCGTGAGTCTCGGATGTAGGGATGTAGGTAGCAGTGAGCAATCACAAACACCCTTCATACATTGTACAGTGGAAGATGAGATACTTATAGGAGGGATAATAAGCAACTTTAAAATCTTATGGGCGATTAATGCCTTTTAATACTTCATGTCTCATTGTCCTGATGACAATATCATCGAAGAAGGACTCTCAAAAAACACGTTAATATAGTAACTGGTTTTGAAGGATTTTTAGGAAACGTCTTTTGGTTAAAAAGTTCTTGACGCTGATTGAAAATTCTTCGAGTATTTATTTTATAGCATCGAAAACAAATGGTTTGATACAAGCATGTCAATTTCGATTCCTCAAGTTCTTCTGGGACAAAACTTTGATTCTCATGTACTTCAATTCAGATTTTAAACTAACAATAAGTCTTATTATAATTTCTTGAGAAAAATTGTAGATTTTATTGGCAATAGATCAACAAAAATATTTCCAAAGTTTTTCTAACTTTCTGTTTGTGCTTTAATGTTCCCTTTCAACTGCATTGTTCATTACTCATCAACAATGAAATTCGCACGATATCATCTACACGACTCTAATCTAGCCAGTCCTCAACACTAATAGCCCCATAAATATGTTTCCCCCATTTTAGACTTGTCGTAGAGAAGGAGGACAAGACGGAAATTGTCTTAAGCTCCGGCACCAATAAAGCTGTCATTGTTGCTGATCCCTTCCGTGTTGATTTCTATGAAAATGGCGCCTTGGTTGTATCGGCCAATGCCAAGGGTTTGATGAATTTCGAACATTTACGTAATAAGCCACAAACCAATCCGGATGGCAGTCAAAATGAACAGGAAGGTGGCGGAGCAGCAGTTGCACCTCAGACACCAGAAGATAGTGATCCCGGAGCATGGGAAGAAAACTTTAAATCGCATCATGACTCGAAACCCAATGGCCCCGAGGCGATTGCCTTAGATTTCTCCTTCCCTGAGGCGGATGTCTTGTTCGGTATTCCCGAACATGCTGATAGTTTCATTTTGAAATCTACATCCGGATCGGATCCATATCGTTTGTATAACTTGGATGTTTTCGAATATATTATTGATAGTAAAATGGCTTTGTATGGTTCGGTGCCGGTCCTCTATGGCCATGGTTCGCAACGTACGGCTGGTGTTTTCTGGCAAAATGCTGCCGAAACCTGGGTTGATATTTATTTGACCGAACAGAATGTGGTATCGTCGATTGTGAAATTGGTTTCGGGTTCACGTAAGGTTGATCCACCAGCAGCTCATTTCATTTCGGAATCTGGTGTTATTGATGCCTTTATTTTGTTGGGTCCCAAACCCATGGATGCCTTCAAACAATATACCTCCTTGACCGGTGTAGGCAATTTGCCTCAACTTTTCTCTTTGGCTTATCATCAATGTCGCTGGAATTACAATGATGCCAAGGATGTGGAGACAGTATCGACCAAATTTGATGAATACGATATACCCATGGACATTATGTGGTTGGATATTGAATATACAGATGGCAAAAAATACTTCACCTGGGATCAGTTTAAATTCCCCGATCCCCTGAGCATGATTAAAAATCTCACTGATGTGGGCAGGCATTTGGTGGTGATCATTGATCCCCACATTAAACGTGACAATGGCTACTTCTTCCACAATGATTGTACGGAGAAGGGTTACTATACCAAGCACAAAGATGGCAAAGATTATGAAGGTTGGTGCTGGCCCGGATCAGCAAGTTATCCAGATTTCTTCCGTCAAGATGTGCGTGACTACTATGCTGATCAATATCTTTTGTCAAATTTCAAAACGGTTACTTCCGACGTTATGATCTGGAATGACATGAATGAACCTTCTGTATTCAATGGACCGGAAGTGACAATGCCCAAGGATTTGATACATCATGGTGGCTGGGAACATCGTGATGTTCACAATTTGTATGGACATATGCATATTATGGGTACATATGAGGGTCTACTTAGACGTGATCCCAACCAGAGGCCTTTCATTTTGACTCGTGCCCATTTTGCTGGTTCGCAACGTTATGCTGCCATTTGGACTGGTGACAATATGGCCGACTGGGGACATTTGCAACATTCGATCAAGATGTGCCTATCGGAAGCTGTGGCTGGTATCTCATTCTGTGGTGCTGATGTTGGTGGTTTCTTTGGTAATCCAGATGCGGAGTTATTTGAAAGATGGTATCAAACAGGTGCCTTCTTACCATTCTTCCGTTCTCATGCCCACATTGACACTAAGCGCCGTGAGCCCTGGCTATTCCCTGAGAAGACTCGCCTCATTATACGTGAAGCCATACGCAAGCGATACTCCTACTTGCCATTGTGGTACACAATGTTTTATGAACATGAGGTGGATGGCAGCCCGGTTATACGTCCTTTGTTGGCTCATTATCCAAAGGATAAGGATGGTTTTGCCATTGACAATGAGTTCTTGTTGCAAGATCGCCTTTTGGTTAGACCTGTTATGCAGCATGGCGTCAGTAAGGTTGATGTTTACTTCCCCGCTCTGGATGAGAAGAAGACTGTGGGTGATGTTTGGTATGACGCAGATAGCTATCAGAAATATGAACGTGTTGGCAAGGAAACCATTGCAGTTGATGAATATAAGGCAAGCTAAGAAATACATTTATAAATTTGGATGAAAAGGCTCACAATTTGTTTTTGTTACATTTTTAGATTCCCGTTTTCCAACGTGGAGGCTCGATTGTACCCAAGAAGGAACGCATACGCCGCTCATCACCTCTAATGAAAAATGATCCCTACACATTGATTGTGTGCTTGGATCGCAATGGTAAAGCTGAAGGTACCCTCTATTTGGATGATGAGAAATCCTTTGATTATCGCCAGGGCAAATTCGTCTACATCAACTATAAGTTTGATGGCAGCAAATTGACCAACAACTTCGTTAAACCACCAAATTATGATTCGAAATCATGGATTGAACGTGTTGTCATTGCTGGTTTGGATCGCCAACCAAAGTCGGCTACCATTACCATTAATGGCGTCACCGAGCAGCTGGAAGTTGTTGCCCACGAAAAGGCTTATGTTATACGCAAGCCTGGTGTGGCTATACACAAAGATTTTGAAATTAAACTTAACTATTAGGTTAATAAACAAATTTAGTGCATATTCATCATGTTGTCACTTGTTGCAAACAAGGACAGACAACTCAAATATTGTGAATCGCATCCCACCCTCCCCCTCTATCTATGTATCGACATTATGTTCGTCTACTAAAGACATTCTTCGTTAAAATCCCAATTTTTTACATTTTAACATTTATTTTTAATTTATGATTTAAAACAAAAAAAAAAACATTGTATTTTGGGATGCATGATGTGAAAAAGAAAAACAACAAAATAGAATTTTAACTCTTCTCAACTGAAAATTGCTCAACAAGTGTTTTCTTCATTTCCCCTTGTTTTTTTTTTCATTGCCCCCAACTTCTTCTTCAACATGTCTTTGTTGTTTTTTTTTTGTGGGGGGTTCATTTTCGGATGAACCAACATGTAAAACCGCAGACTCATAATAAGGCACACCCCTCCAATGGCTGGTTTGTATAGTAACAATGTTACAGTTTTTATTGGTAATATTCCCCTTTTCGGCTGATGGTTGGGAGGCAATGTCTGATGGGTGGTTTCAGTCCATTTCTATTATTTATGAGAAAATGTGGGTGCTTTTCAACTAAATCGTGCAAAAAACAACAACAACAACAGCAACTAATACGATAACGTTATGAGCTGTATTAAAGTTCGCCAGCGTATGGCATGCGCAGTCGTTCGGAAAAGTTTATCCGTTTTTAATATTTATATCCCTACAAGTTATGTTGTCAGTGTGCTTTCGAAGATGCTAAGGCGATGTTGATGTAGGATGTATGTTGCGGAATTTACATCAACCATTTGACACTTTTTGTTATTTGTGAATTTATGAATGATTTTAAAAATGGAATATTTCAAAATTAAGTCAATATCAATGACCTTATGCAGCGGTGCTCAAGAAGAAATATCTCTTTTCATTCAAATTTCTCTTTGCTTATTTAAATCAAGAACAAAACAGTGTTAAGTCATTATTTATACAAATATTTTTTATCCATTTGCTTTATAAATTATTTTGGCAAACATTCGTGTTTAAAAACAATTAAATAGAACCGTAAAATATAAAGAAACACAGAATTTTAATTTTCTCTTAAATTATCTCTTTTTTCTATTCATGTTCTAGAACACGGTTTTGAGCACCGCTGCCTTATGACACTTCACATTGCTGACCTGACTCCAGACTGCTGGACTGATGATCTTTTTATAACCGACTTTAATAATTAAGTTTACTGGTCATTTAAACAACATTATTTAGTTTTTCACATTAAAAATATTTCCAGAAGGATTTCTAACACGTGTACTGGACAGGCCAAAGCGTTACATCGCAGCCATGGTCATCCGAATCGTTAGGCCGTCTAAAGTGACCTAAAATATTAGTTCGAGTACTTCACAAAAAACTTCCATTTTTCGATAGTCCTAGGTAACCGGTAGCGAAATATAAACTGATGAAAGTAGTCGGAGAATAGCAACTCGAATGCACCGGATCAGTCACTTAAGTTAGAAACTTCTGCGTCACACAAATTACAGCAGAGATTACGGCACTACGTCCATGAGGCCGGACTAAGACTCAACTGTATGCATTGTAGCAGAGAATAACATATGAATACACTTCAACATATGCAAGCAGTAAGTAATAATGAGAACTACCAAACGACGTCTCATTTTTCTACAGGGCAATTTGGGCTCGTTTTCTACAGCACCTTCGGTTCATTGTTACACAGGGACTCCGACTAGTTTTTCCACAGAGTTTAGGTTAGTTCCACAGAAGCTTTGGTTCGTTGGTTCTGTTGTCTTAAGAAGACCTAAAGGCCTTCAATTATATTTAGCGGACTTTGAGGTCTTCTTTTGTCTTTAGAAGGTCTGGAGGTTTATTAAGACCTTTTGTCTATAGAATAGCTGACCTTTTTCTTGAAGGCATTGAGGTCTTTTTTTGTCTATAAAATACTTTGTGGTCTTCCTTTGTCTATAGAACACCTTGAATTCTTCTATTGTCTATAGAAGACTTTAAAGTCACCTATCGCCTATAGAACTCCCAGAGGTCTCCTACCTCGAGTTATTTTTTTGTCTATAGAAGACCTCGAGATCTACTATCGCCTATAGAAGACCTATGGGTGTCCTATCTTCTATAGAAAACCCTGGTTATTTTTTGTCTATAGAAGTTCTTGAGGTCTTCTATTGTCTGTAGGAGATAGAACCTCTTTAGGTTACCTACCTCGAGATCTTCTCGAGTCTATATAGGGTAAGATAAAAAACTGCAACAAAGTCAAACGCCATAATTTTTATTTATTTTTTTAATTTTATTGAATAAAAGCAACAAATGTCGGAAATAGCATCAAATTTTAGAATAAGTTTGGATATGTTCGAATTGGTCACTTTTGGCACGAATTATGGCCTTCGAACGGCCAATGAAACCGTCACACGCTGCTCTGCGGTATTTTGTCCCATTCCCGGCGAAGCATTTGGTCGAGGTGATCGACAATTTGGTATTTTTTAGCGCCAACCTTGCTTTCTAAAATACTCCAGACACAACAGTCCAACGGATTGGTATCCGGAGATTTTGGTGGACATTGTGTGCTGGAAATGAAGCGAGGAACCTCATTTTGTAACAATTTTTGGGTGGCGCGTGCTGAGTGCGATGGTGCGGAGACCTGTTGTCCAAGGTCTGGAGCCTAAATGTTTGCGTATCCAAGGCTTTAATATTTTCGCGATAATATTCGGCATTTATTCAGACCGTGGCGCCTAATACGAGCGGAGAGCGACCATCGGCTGTTATTACACCATCACCATGGCCGGCGCTTGAGTTCTGGTGGACAACTGAAGGTGCACATTTTCAGCTGACCTCTTTGCTGGAACAAACTGCTGGACAATGAATGTTTTCTCATCGGAGAAAACCAAATTCGACAGTTCACTACTTTCGGCCATGCGAAGCAATTCTTTAGCTCTTTTCAGTCTATTTTCTTTCTTTTGCAGGTGTAAGTTCTTGCACTTTTTGGAATTTCAATGACTTTACCCCGAGCTCATTTTTCAATATTTGCCGAATGGAATATTGCGATATGTTCAGCTCACGAGCCATTTTTCGGCCACTGCGATGCGGGTTTCGATCAAGTCGCTTCTTTACTTTTCGAACCATTTCCGCTGATGTTGCTGTTTTCTTCCGTTCACTTCCTTGACGTCGGGCTACGCTACCAGTATCTCGGTAACGAGCGATGGTACGAGACACAAATGATTTATTCACATTTAAATGCTGGAGTGCTCTAACGATAGCCACTTCCAGGTTTTCAGCCAAATATAAAGAAATCACACTATCACACATGAGTTCCATCACGAATGACTTTTCTGGGAAATTCTCACCAAAATGCAAATATAAAAAAAATATAATGAGCTTTCACTGGAACAATTTTAACAGCTGTCGGAAGAGTGGCTTAGAAATGATAGTAGTCTGATGATGGTTGCATTTTTTTCATCTCACCCTGTATATATGGAATATCACGCACACTTCAACTAAAAATTATCACATATTTCATAGCTAAAGTGAAGGAAGTAGTCGATATTGTTTAAATATGGCACGTGCCAATATTTATGTATATATTTAGGTCCGATATGAAATTGACTATATTGGCCCATTCCTTCGAAACCTGCTCAAAAGAGGGTCAACAATTTGAATAATCATAACAGAAGTCAAAATATATTTAAATAATCAAATATTGGCTGTCAGCAAAACTGACCGATACTTTTTCACTTGGTTTTTATACCCTACACCACATAGTGGTAAGGTGTTATGTCTTTGTGCATTTGTTTGTAACATGGAAAAAAACGATATAGACCAATAGCTCATTTTGGTGATCAGCATAGAATCACATTTTGAGTCGATTTATGCATGTCCGTCCGTCCGTTCGTCTGTCCATGTATTTTTGTAAACAAAATGCAGGTCGCATTTACTATTCGATTGAGATAAAATTTTCTAAATAACATTTGTTTGGCTCAAGGACGAACCCTATTGATATTGGTGAAAATCGGTCTAAATTTAGATATAGCTCCCATATATATCTTCATCCGATTTTAGGTTTTTTGTGTACCAAATGGCTAATATCAGTCCAAATAGTGTGAATTTTTCTACATCCGACCGAATTCAGCCTACAAGCATGTGCTACAAATTTGGTGAAAATCGGTTGAGATATAGCTATAGCTCCCATATATATCTTCATCCGATTTTAGGTTTCTTCTGCACCAAATGGCTAATATCAGTCCAAATAGTGTGAATTTTTCTACATCCGACCGAATTTAGCCTACAAGCATGTGCTTCAAATTTGGTGAAAATCGGTTGAGATATAGCTATAGCTCCCATATATATGTTTCATCCAATTTGGTGTTTAAGTCCCTCACATTCGTAATATGCACTCCACGAGACTGATATTTTGCACCAGATATCAGATACAGCCCAGCAATTCGTGATTAAAATGTTATCAAGATCGGTTGCGATTTGGATATAGCTCCCATATATATCTTCATCTGATTTTAGGTTTCTTGTGCACCAAATGTCTAATATCAGTCCAAATGGTGTGAATTTTGGCACTTCAGACCGAATTTAGTATAGAAATAAGTAGCTCAAATTTGGTGCACGATACAAGAATACTATTTGTTACCAGATATCAGATGCAGCCAAGAAATATCTGTTTTCAATTTTTTGAAGATCGGCTCAGATTCGGATATAGCCTTCATATATATCATAATACGATTTCAGGTTTATTTTGCACTAAATAGCTAATATTAGCCCAAATGGAGTGAATTTTCGAAATTCAACCGAGTTTAGCATAGAAGGAAGAATTTCATATTTGCTCCCATATATATGTTTCATCCGATTTGGTTTTTAAATCTCCAATTTTTTGGAATATGTACTCTACCATAATGATATTTTGTACCAGATATGTCACAGAGCTCAGAAATTGCAATAAAAACCTTTCTTTTACGAGAGTTCTACTAAATATGCATAGTGGCGTAGGGTATCATATAGTCGGCCCCGCCCGACTTTTGAGCTTTCGTTACTGTTTTTTTTAACTTTTCTGTGTTTTTTTCTATAGCTCTTAAAAAATCACTATGTATATCAACAATAAATTTTCTATTTTTTTATAAAATTTTTTTATGTTATTTTTTCAAGTTGATGCGTTTGTTTGTTGTGTTACACCATTCTCCTCTTACCATTCCTTGATATTTAGTAGATCATTGTGAAAACATTGGGCGCCACTGAACTCATCTCCTCAGCCAGCGATAAATCCACGTTACACCTTCTTCTCTA